ATGGTTTTGAACTCTATGTCCTCCATTAGTTTGCTTTCCTCCATTTCTTTCATTTGTGACATGTTTCTTTGTCTCCGCATTTTTGGCTGACTGTGAGGACCCTCTGTGTCTATGGTGGGAGAACTGCTGTGCTGGAGACACCCTTATGGGGTAGGACTTGCTTCAGTGGGGCTTTGGTGCTCACTGAGTCTGCCTCTTGAGTGTGTCCCTTATAGATGTGAGGAGTTGAAATCTGGTATCTGACTAGGGGTACCCTGGCTCCTGGGTCTCCAAGTCAACCACTGTATGAGTCCACCCAGCAGGAGCTACAGCGATATCAGCAGATTTCTCCTCTTTGTTTGGAATTTGGAAGTTTTGGAGCTCTCTGACACAGCTGCAGTTTGTTGGGATAGGCTGCAAAAACGCAGGTGGTTCCTTGACCACTGGCACAGCTTGGGCAGGGATGTAAATTGAGTGGGGCGGGGTCTCAGAGAATCACCAGGGCAGAGCAAACAGTCTCTGGGACTCCAACTCCGCGTCTCTGCGTCCCTGAGTCCCGCGCCCCCACAGCAACAATGCGCCCCGCGAGCAGCTCTGCGAGAAAGCCACCCTTGCTTTCCGACCTGCTGCATGATAGTCCAGTTTCTCCCCGTAAGAGTCTGGGACCTCAGAATCTCACCTTAAACGAGCTCAGTGCGTTCGAGAGCTTGTATCCCCTTCCGATTGAAATAAACCGCCCATCCAGGTGCAGCCCGCCTTGCGCGTGCCTTCATACCTCTGTTCTTGGCGCCTCTGCACCTTCTACTCAGTCTCAATGAGCTTCTTTCTTTCCTTCTAGTTGTAGAACTTCCACTGGGCCAGCTTTCCCGTGGTTCTGGATGATAGCTGTTTTGTCTTATAGTTGTAATTTCAGTGTTGTTGTGGGAGGTAGCACGCACAGGTTTATACCTTACACTGCCATCTTGGTTGCCCCCTATAGAATGATTTTTGAAATCAGGTTTGAGTAAAATAATCCATTGTGGATTTTCATTAAAATTTCTTTACATTTAAATATTAGTTTGGTGAGAATTTATATTTTATATTTTCTCATCCAAGAATATTATATATAATAACTTTAAAAGTGGAAAGAACTAGCCAGAATTATAGACTATAACTAAGCACCATACCTAGGGTTAGTACCATAATAATTGGATATGTATTATTTAGAAGATCACCAGTGCCGACCCTCATTCTAGCAAACAACCCTTGTGATATTGCAATTGAGGACTGTTGGGATTGGTGCCCAGTGTGTAAGCCTGTGCTTGTGTTACACAAGCCTGTTTATTTGCCACATTACTTGCTAGGGGATGCTCACAGTTCCTTAGCATTTCCTTTAACTGTGAGTTCATATGGGAGCAGGCTTTATATATTTTGCATGTCAGACGTCTTACCGAATTAATGATCACTCCTTGCATTCTTGAACCAGTGCACTCATTTTCATGCTGTGCCTTATGGAGCTGGAGGCTGGCCAGCTGTGAAGAGCAGGCTGAGGGCTCCAGGCTCTTTCCTGCTCCAGCCAAGCAGCTCCACTTTATCTGGCTCATGTGGCATGGTTCAGCATGAGATTTCATGCAAAGATGAAGGGTTCTGAGGCTGCATGGCTTATACAGCAGATTGGCGATTCCAGTGTGTTCCCATGTTGGATGTGTGTTGTGACCCTTCTCAGCTACTTTATTGTCTCCACTAGAGGACTGGTGCACGAAATTTGTGCATGGGTAGGGTCCCTAGGCCTGGCCAGCAATCAGAGCCGATTGGAGCCTTCTGGCTGCTGGCCGGGGCCTCCCTTCCCTGGCTGCCAGCCAGGGCCTTCCTTCATTCTGTGCCACCCTCTGGTGGTCAGTGCACTTTATAGTGAGCGATCAAACTCCTGTTCTCCTGGTCAAACTACTGAAAGGACAACTTGCATATTAGGCTTTTATAAATATAGATTATTTCAGTGGTCATATGTGAAAGGAGGGTGATAGTGGAGCAAATTAGATGGCTGCGAGAAATAACTCACCCAATAATTCAACTTAACTATCTGGTTGTTTGCAAACATCAACTAATATACAAATGGTATCTGGGTGTGTGGCCTACTCACATGTGTGCTGTATGGCCTGCTGATTCTCACATGGGGCTGGTGGTTTCTGGGTAAGCTTATGGTAGCTTTCTGAAAAAAGTGACTGCTTGCTAGTGACTCCTGAGCAAGACACAGTATGTTTCAGAGAGAAGGAAAATCCCCCTAACAAAACTCTGATGCTGATATTGGTATTACAACAGACTAACAGACTTCCATGGTTGGCAGAGAATTCCTGTGTATTAGCCACACACTGGTGCTTCCTTAAGAGCAGCCAGCATCTTATTTATCTCTGTCTCCCTGGCTCCCTGGCACACAGGTTTGTTTTTTTTATTACCCATTAAAGTAATAAATGTAGATAGTAGGGAGGATGGATATAATCTAGTCTAATCTTGACACCTTGCAGGGGGGTTTCCAACTAAGAATGGTGACCATGAATTAATCCAGTGACAGACACCAGGATTCCAGAGGAACCTTGCATTTCAACTCCTCTCTGACCACCTCCATGGCATTAGTGAGCATTGAAAAACAAATGACAGCTTTGATGGCCAGGCTCTAATGTGAGCTGAATTGGGACTATATTTCTGTCAAACAAGATTACTGTCAGTTATCAATCCTAAACAAATGTGACAAGGAATATGAACTCTAGAATAATGACTTCCTTTCCCAGAAATTGGCTCATGATATTTAACTGTATGACACCTGCATAGCCAACATCTTTAAAACACAGAATGTGAAAATCCTTGGTTTTGAGCAAGTCCACCTGAGCTGTAACCCCAGCATTCTGCCATGTGGGGAACATTTATCTTTTAGTGCCTG